AATATGTGTTTCTAAACTAACTTCTTTATCCATATTTGTCTAGCCAAATGTTTGGACCTTTACTCATTTAACATTACATCTAGGTATCAAGCAACGACCCTAACTCATTTGACACTAAACTCGATCCACACAATGTGTAAATTTCAGGTGACGATTTTAGCTCTAACATAATATTGTTCTGTCTTGAGACCGACTAAGAGGTCATAGGCACAGTTATATTGATATAATAAGGGTAAAATAATAATAAAAACTCTTTCTAATTTTTATACTATTTAAATTAACTCCTTATTATTTAAAAATCTACTAGTGAACTCCTTGTAGTTTTGATTGAAATAAAACTCTTACCTGTCTTCATTTTATTTAACAATTTTATGCTAAATTGATTTAATAACCTCTATATAAATTAAAAAAAATTAAACTCTTCCCTATCTATACTTTCAAATGGTGAAAAAAGAGTAAAGAAAACAAAAAATAATCTTGAGAAACCCTAAATTCTATAGGGTCAAAGTTTAAAAAAATTTGTAGGAATTTTCAAATAACTTAATATTCATTATAATATTATATCTTGTAGTGCAATGTGGTGTACATCATGTTAGTAGTTGTGTTGGTTATGCACTCCCTCTCTCTCTCTCCTTATATAAAGTTTGTGAGGACAACTAACATGGGTGAGTCATTTTTATTTTATTCTTTGTGTAACAAAAGATAAGAAAAAAGAACTAGTTGAAATACACTTATATTTTGGAGGCAATTTCAGAACAATCAAACATTTCTCACAAAAAATTACAAAATAGGCATTTGGAAGGGGAAGATCTAAATAAATTATCATTGATGCGATTATTCAATATGCTAAATCATGTGGAACCTGATGCAACTAATGCCACCTTTTAGTGGTGTATTCCTAATGTAAATATGGAAGATTGTGGCATATTATCCCTTATAGAAAATAATGATATTGAACTAATGAATGACTCACATCATTATTTTTATTGCAAGTGGAGAACAAGAATTTGAATTACCATCTCCACATATATGTAACATAACATTTCAAGAAAAAAGGTATGAATATTGGTCAAATAGATGATAATAATGAAGATGTTTTGCATGTGGTATAGTTGAAGCTAATGTAGAATAAAGCAAAAATAATAATAAGCCTAATTGGTTAGTAGGTTCCGAGACAATAAACAATGAAGATATTTTTATCATGAAGTGCAATGCTGGTGAACAATTATTAGTTCATATTGGGGATGCATTATGTGCTCATAGTGAATAAATAGACAACAAATTTGAGAGAAGTGACTGGAATGAGTCAACAAACAATTACTGATTAAGAGTTGGTAGACACTACTGAGTTTGATGGTGAGAAGCTTAATGAATATCTTGACTTGGATCCCAATGTGGAGTTTAATAAACATCAATTTGAGTTAAAGGTAGGCAAAAAATTTAAGAACTTTGGCATATTTAGGCAAGTTTTAAAGGAATGGAATATGATAGAGGGGCACAAAGTTAGCTAGATAAAAAATGATTCTTATAGAATTATTGCCAAGGTTGCACATGGGATCTATGCTTCTTAAATTCAAAAGACTACCACTTTTCAAATCAAGACTTTGAAGGGGGAGCATATATGTGAGAGAAAGTATAACAAGAAGCATGTCACAACAATGTACTTAAGCCAAAAGTATCAATTTAAAGTCAGAGATGACCCTCAATGCAATTTAATTTCTTTTTATAATGATGTTCGAAGAAATCTAATAATGGATGTCACATCATCTAAGGTGTATAGAGCAAAGAGAAAAGAGAAAGAAGATATACACAATACAAACATGGAGCAATTTCATAATTTGTGGTATAATCTATGAAGCATGATGAAGATAGAACTTGACAAGTCATCCCTTATCGAGAATGATACATTTGAAAAGATGCCTTCAATCTTGCAAGCAAGGATTCTTGGATGGGTGTAGACCAATTATAGGTCTAGATGGTTGCTTTTTGAAGATTTGTTTTGGTGGGTAATTACTATTTGTTATGGGAAAGTATGACAATGATAATATGGTGCTAGTAGCTATGATAATTGTTAAAGTTGAAAGGTATCACTCATGAAAGTAGTTTTTACGATGGATGATGTGGGCATGGGATAGATAATTGGACCTTTATTTCAGATAGGGAAAGAGGGCTAGTTCACGTTGTTAAAGAGCTTTTTTAAATTCTGAGCATAGGTTTTGTGTGTCCCATATGTATCAAAACTTTGACCAAAAATTCAGAGAAAAAGAATTAAAGGACTTCTTTTGGACATGTTCAAGTGCAAGTAACAAGCGTGATTGGAGGAGTGCGATGGAAGCATTGGAGAATGCTAACTAGATGAGCTTTGTGATGACTTCCTCAGCTCAGCGTCATGGAGAAAGCCCACATTATCTTCTTCCACGTTCCTTCTTTACTTGTGCAGTGACTGTACCCTCTCCTCGTTTTCTCTTGCCATGGATTCATTGCTTTCTTAGAACTCATCATACTTAACTTGTTCTCGCGTATGTCATTAAAACTAATTGTTGTCTTGTATATTTTGTCAGCTACATTTCGAGCAACCTTGCGTGACTAATAACATGGAGCAACCTCTCGAGGATGCTTCTCCTCTTGTGCATGACCACGTTGGCAATGAATGTGTTATAACATCCCGAGCTACCTGTGCAACATCTTTGATTTGGTTGACAACTTCCAACGTCTGCTTATAGAATTAAAAAATAGTGGACTCCTATGCCACTAGCTATGCCCTGCTTGGTCCTGTTTGTTCCAACATCCTCTATGCCACAAAGCAACTTAACATAGTGTGCCAACAACTGTGACATGTTATTTAAAATAAATGTAAACTACATTGTCTGCCATTAAACAATGGTGGAGTGATTGGTACCATTTCTGCCGAAAATAGAGTTAGATAATGCTAATTTATAGAGGGAACAGATAGTTGGACAAAAAAAATAAAAAGAATATAATAATTCATCTTTCATATAAATTTGCTTGGATTTAGAGTGAGTCAGGCAGGAAATAGTATTGAATCGAAAACTAGCTTGGAAAAATATGAAGTAGTTACTAATTTAGAAAGACTTGAAATCAAGACGCAGCATCAATGACAAAGGTCGCCGCCAATTGCAACATTTAGTTGAGTGCATTATTGCACCTTCAACTAATTTACGAATTCAGATCTCGTTGTGACAAGAACTAAACATTCAATTCCTTATTAACAAAAAGACATTTATTGAAAAATAATAATTAATATTGCCTTAAATTATATATGTACAGATAAATGAGAACAATTTTTCCTCTCTAAACCGAAATAGGAACAATGGCAATAAGACAAATGTTAAGAGTATTGGTTAAAAAATATTAATATACTTCTAAACATTGACGAAAAAAACTTTTGGTGCAAAGGATTGGTAAGATTTGAATTAAGGGGGAAAAAACCCTTCGTTATGTTTCCAAGAAAGAGGAGCGGAAAAAGAAAAGTGACTTGTTATTGTAAGACCATAAGACCATCAAGTTAAAATAATAATAAAATTAGAGTTCCTTTTACAAAGCTTTCTACGCACAAGCGAAATAAGAAGGTTAAGAGACGTATGAGATAAGATGAATAATGTAATCGAGAAATAAAAAAAAAAAATATTGTAGAAGTGTTACGTAGTATAAATTTATGTAAACTGATGCCAAATGAAGGAATAAATTCATTATTATCAGCTTTTATATAGATAATAGCTTCTCACTTATCAAACCAAACAGGTACATCTTAAAAGGAAAGCAATCACCCTGCTAAAACATTCATTAGCATGTTGACGTGGTAGACTCGTAAAGAATCCTTTCGTATGACTACCAATTGAACCTGAACTGGAGATCCAAACAAATTATCAAAATTCAACTATTTGATCAAGACCGGGATTTATTACCGGGGGGTTGTGATTCGTAATAGAAAACCAGAGTCACATATCTTCCTTTGCCCAAATAAAATTATATTTTTTAACAAGTCACAAAGTACATGTTTTCCCAACGCATGTCAGAATACAAAAAGCATCATAAATCATAATATCCACGGATGGCCTACCCAGAAAATGCTATTACAGGATAGTAGGATGAACATTGTTTTCAAGTTGAGATAAGCATTACATAATTTATGCTACACATACATGTTGAAAAATTATATATATATATATATATTAAAGACATTCATAACTAGTGTTCATAAGTCATAATATCAAAGAGAAGACAATACCCCCAATTAAAATAAAATATAGGGACGAACTTAGACAGGAACAAAAAACAGATATGAATAACTTATTTCAGAGATGAAAGGATAGAACAAAAGCATGGATAAAACAGAGCAAGGTTATTCAGGTGATGAGCTTGCCAGAAAATGACTGCACAGGGGATGGTGGGAAAGATGCTGGCAAAGGGTGGGGGTTCTTCAAAGATTTAGGATTTCGTCACAGGTACTGAACATAAATGTGGGTGGGAAAATACGGTTTTATATGAAACCACACGCCCCAAAAAAAAAAAACACACAACACTGTTGCAGATATAAAATAAGGCATTGCACCAAGCATAGTGCAGCACCTATTACACCTGTGGAATTTGATAATTTCCAGTGATAGCTCCACCGCAACATAATTCCTTACTATTTACAAAAGCGTTATAAATAGGAAAATATTGAGCTGTATGTAATTCTATTCCTATTCAAAGTATCTCTATCCTAAACGTATCAGGCAAAATTTTCTTTTACAAAGTAAAATATTCCTTGGATACAAGGTGTATCATGCACGTATTAGTAATTACATTGCCATTTTGGGAGTTCACAACTTCGTAAGAGAAGGATGGACCCAACCAAGCATGGGTAGGGAATCAGTAACAAATTCAGGTCCAGGTTCTAACCCACCTCATTACAAATACTCACACCACAATACAATGACTAAAAATTTTGGACAATTCACAAAATGATATGCAATGTCACTCTCTTAAATCTTAATCAAAAATCGATTTATTCTATATTCATTAAATAAGACTTAAAATTGAGAGGAAGCCATAGTACCTTTAGCTACACATAGGATATACAATCAAGGTTAATTTGCAGCCTGCTAGCAAATTACATCAATTGTGACTTAATAAATCATCACTAAATTAAATCATCATTATATTCTGAAGGATAAGCAATGCACGGAAGGTTAATAAAATTTATCACAATTTTTTGTTGATTTGTCACATTCTTCATGCACTAGTATATAACACTTCTAGAAATTCCTGCACCTGGAAGGGCACACATATTTTCAAAAGAAACAAGTGCTCCATTAAAATTCAAAACTACTTTAAGTAGCTTAAAGCACACTAAGTCAATCAAGACACACAATTTATATGGTTGAGATCCTCACATATCTTAATAATCACAGATAAAAGATGCCTTGCTGCTGCAAATAACAAACTTCTTTAATTAACTGCAAAAACAATTGCACAGCTCAATTTCGTTCAATAATAGGTTTCTGCATTATAGCTTCATACTGTCCTGATTCTACTTAATCATTCCCCAATGCATTTCAATTTTATACGCCGATCCTTGAGACAATAAGCACAAGATTATTCATGTTAAAACTTAGGCTCAGTTTGAATATATTTTTCAATAAATACTCAGTCAAAATTTAGTGAAATGAATCAAATTCCTCCCATAAGTTAAAATCAACTTATGCTTCTCTATTTTTTGAGAAGTTCTTTCATTTAACTTCTCTAAAACTTCAGGCGATAAATTGTTGTGAACTTTTGAGAAAAGTTTTATTCATTTTTCATATTATTTTTCTTCTCTTATAAGAAATCATCTACAAGCTCACCCAAACAAGGCCTTAGCCAATACACGAGTGTTTCAAAACAAGTTGCAAGGTTAATCTTCCAAAATTAATTTTAAACTGCAAAAAAGCTACGTTCAGAAACCGTTTGGATGCATCTCTTAAATGCCCTTAAGATTTGAATCTCCGGTCAAATATGTATATACTATTTTGCCACTGTTTCTCTCTAGCAGCCATGGTGTATAAGATCAGACATAATCAGTTTTTTCTCACATGAATGCATAGGGCTAACTATGGGCCTTCTCCCAATTTTCACATAAACAAGGGGAAAAATATCATCACAAATACGCAGACTTAAAATTAAGGATCCAAGGAAATATATACATCAGACGACTAACCAAGAGAGTGGTTAACATCATCCAAAGATGGCCAACGCATTTGCTCGTTCAATCACACTTGCAATCAACCATGGTACACTGCAAACAGGTTCATAACGAAACACTAATGCATAATTCTCCCAAGAAATAAAAGCTCTCATTGCCCATTTGCAAATTCCTCCACCTAAAAAAGGATTCTACATTTTCCCTTTTTCTACATCATCAAAAAACATAGGTGGAAGAGAATCAAGAAAAGCCACAAAACGACCTCAAAAGTCAAAGCAAGAGCAGTGGAGCCATCATTAACAATTCTACACATAATAATAAAACACACGATTTCAAAGAGTTATTCATAGCGGGCCAATCACAGGCTAGGGAGTTTAAAACGCCCAAAATATAATAATAAACCAATGCAAGGTTCAACAAGTTCTGCTCAGCTCTTTCTTCAAACGATCGCATTATTGAACAGAAGAAAAAAAAAAGATCAATTGCGGTTTGGAGGGAGCAAACTAGGAAGTGTCCCAGGGCTTAGGTTTGGGTAGGGCAACGACCATACCTTGAAGGTCGTGGTTGAGGAGAACCTGGCAACCGAGCCTGGAGTGTTTGTTGAGGACCCTAGCTCTGGAATTGCGTTTGAGGACATACTCTTCGTCGTAGGACCTAGGGGGGAGCTTTTCGAGCCACTCTTGGGCGATGTTCACCTCGCACTCCGCGGAGCAGGCGTCGATCTCTTCAAGGCGGTGGGCGTTTGGGTCGATGAGGCCCTTGTTGATTAGGGCCTTCAGGAGGGTATGGCCCGCCAGGCCCACCACCTCGTGCTTCTTCCCCTCGAAGTCGATTGCTGAAAGCTTCACGATGCGGTCTGATACCTTCTTCGAGGAGGAAGAGGAGCTTCGAGATATGAGGGATTTCGAAAACAAGGAGAGAGATTGGAGGCGATGCACTTGCGAGGACAACCTTTGCAGATTCGCGACTGCCATTGTTGTTAGAACTGTCGAGAGAGAGAGTTTGCCTGTGGTCTTCTGATTCCTAACAAGGAAATGAAGAAAATGGCGATGCCGTTCTGGGCCTCTCCACGGGCACTCAGAGGTTTCTCTATCAATTTTTTGATTGGGCCAGGCCATTATTCAATGGGCCCAATGCAAAGGATCTAACAAATGCAATTAAGGGGACTTATTTTTTTTATTTTTTTTACTAAAGAAATAAAGGAGCTTATTTTATTTTATTTCATTACCTACTTTCTTTTTTTAGTTTGCGAACTGATGTGCACAATAATTATGAGTTGACATGAATGAAGAGTAACAGCAACTGTATTAAAATATATGAATATGAATATAGTATAAACACCACCAAAGGTTGATATTTTGGGGGGCATATCCCATTGATCAATAGAATGTTGATAACAAAATGGATGGTGAATGAGTAAGCTATGGAGATAAAAAAAAAAAAGAAAAGGGGGGATAGTTTCACACTTATATTATACTTACTTTAAATCCTTTTTCAAGAAAATTATATATATTTTTAAAAAAATACCTATTAATTCAATAAATTTTTATTAGAGGATATAAGAGAGTGCAGAAGAACTACTATGAAATGAATATTTTTCTTTCAAATTTTTATCAAAACTATTTTTTCATGTTCAATTTTTTTATATGCCTATTAAAATTTTCTTTCATTTATGAGAAAAAGCAAGCCCTTTGTATTTTTACCGTAAATGAAAAATATAAGAGTTGAAGTCAAAAAATTAAATATAAAAAAAAAATCATTCAAATTATAACTATATAAATAAAAGGAAGGATTACGTCTCCACCCTCATACAAGTTTTAATAATATTTTGATATATATTTTTTATCCATTTTATACTTTTTTATCTTTCTTATTCATTAATATAGTCAAACCTTTAAAAGATAACTTAGTTATTTTATATAGGTGTAATTGTATTCAAGAAGAGCAGTAGATTTTTTTTTTCTTCGTTTCTTTAAACTAAAGTGAGTTATTTGTACAAGTTCCATGTAGAACAACCTGAAAAGGAAAAAAGTTTAAAACGAAAACATGTTATAAATAAAAAAATTATTTTGTATTTACTCCCTAATTTTGTCTATAAAAAATTATAAAATAATAAAATTATATTGAAAGTTCATGAATATATGCAAAAAGTATTAAATAATGTTAAAATTTGTGCCTTTTTTTTTATCTTTTTATTTTTTTCCTTTTCATGTGAGTGTTTTTAAGGATATAAAATGCAAAAGGCTAGTCATAAGTTAAAAAGTATAGACTAAAATTAAATTCTTACTATATATATATTTTTATTATTGTACAAGCAAAGACTAAAATCTTATGTTGTTAACAAAGATGTCAAACACATGTTAGTCAATTAGGATTTTTCTCTAAGTTTGAATAAGTGCTTTTAAGGATGTCAAATATAAAAGGTTAGTCATAAACTAAAAAATATAGACTAAAATTAAGTTCTTACTATATTTCATTTTTATTGTTGCAAAAATAAAGACTAAAATCTTATATTGTTATCAAAGATGTCAAGCACATGTTAGTCCATTGAGATTTTTCTCTAGATTTAAATTATATTCAACATACACTATAGATTGAAAAAGGCACTACAAAAGTTGAATTCTTTTGACATCATACCTACGAAATCTTCTCTTACTAACTTAAAGTAGGTATAATCTATAACTCTCTTTATTTTCTTAGTAACAATATTGACTTAGCCTCTCTCCTTTTTTGGAGGAGTAGATATTGAAAATTATATACATGTTAATGGCAATGAAACATAAAGATTCTCAAAGGTTTATGCAATTATCATATCTCAAAGTGTGCATACATGATAAGTCTTTATTTTGACATGTTTTGTAGCATATTTTTATGTGCTTGATTCTTACTTAAATGGATTTTATATTGATTGTTATATTAATTGTACAGTTTACATGAGAAAGTTACAATTGAGTTTTATATACATTTGAAAAATAGATCAAACACACTCATGCCTCAACAACCAATGCATCATGCTTCGAAGCATATGCACGACCATCCGTATTAGCGTGCATAAAGTATATATTTTGACACGTTTTATAGCTCACATATTTATGTTTGACCTTTATTTTAATTGAGTTTTACACTTTTATATATATATATATATATATATAATGTAATTTAACATAAAAAGGTCACAATTAAATTTTTGAGCATTTTGGACCCAAATTGGTTGGAAAATAAAGTTTTGCGGTAGTTAATACTAGGACTATCCAAAAATGCTAAGCCTGTTTGAAATCGGGTTACTCGAAGGCCCAAAACATGGATAGGGTCAGTTGGTTTTTTTAGGAGAAAAACGGATAAGAAAAAAAATGGGTTTAGATGGTTATATACGGTCAGATTCGGGTAAGAGAATTGAGACTAGAACTGACTCGACTACTTATTAAATCCTAATGATGCATATTTAAGGCTCCTTCTAATCTTCAGCGTGCCGCATGCCATTTTTTTTATCGCCCTTATTCAATTTCATTCTTGTGCTACGATTTTCATTCGTAATGGCCACATACTCTCATACTTTTGATCTTTCTCCTCTCATCCCTGTTCCTAAACTCATCTCACAAACTTAGTCATAGAACCCTAGCTGTCTTTTCTTTCTTCTCCCTCTTTTATTTTCGTTCCTAAAGTAAGTCCTATGCCTTTCAATCTTGCTTTTTAGAAAGGGAAAGACAAGGGATATTAGGGATAACGATCCAACTTGGAAAGATGAATAGGTGTGGTCAGAAATGGCAGTGTGTTTGGTGGGTGGGGTTAGAAGGTTCGAACTCAGTTGACCTTCCATATTGGAGATGATATTCAACAGTATCCCAACTCTGATCTTTTTTGCATAGCGACTCAGACTCATTCAAGTTCTCGTCTTGTTTGTACCATAGGTCATCGCCATTTGAATCTACCACCCTCAACTATTGCCGAAGAACAAGTTGTCTGTTGGTGTTCTCATGCCGCATAACTTACCCAATGGAATCCAAGTAATTTCATGGCTATTTTTTTTCATTTTATTTATTTTTACTCTTTCTTGCCATTTCATGGCTGCTGTGGAGAGATTTTTCTGCCATTTCCACTTTCCTTTTCCCTCATCCCTCATTTGTGATGTGGGTTTTTCTCTGCATGTTTCCTTCTTTGATCTTTCTTTTGATTTATTGTTTTTGTTTCCCACCTGTGAGTGCTAACTCCAAAGAACTTCATCTTCTTTCACCGTCGAATGTGAACCTTTTCCTTTTCAAAGATACCCATGTTGGGTCAAAAGTAGAATTCAATTTTCTTTTTACTATTATATGCCTTTACTATTCCCCCCAGCCTGTTTACTATTCTTCCGTTGATTTCTTCCTTTGTTGGGTTTATGTTAAGCTTTTTTCCATCCTTAGCCACAATTTTTCTTTCTTTTAAAAAGGTTTACTTTTTAGCTTCCTCTTCTTTTTCCAAGTTCTCAAATATGTAAATGTTTATTTTTGTTGGTCGAATTAGTCCATTTGTACCTTCCAACCATCCTGAAACTTCATTTTCATTCACTTGATTATTTTATAGTGTTGATATTTTTTTTACATTTCATATTAAGATCAATTATGTTAGAGTAGCTTCTTAAATGTTTTTCGAATCATTGCATAAAGTTTTCATGGATACTTCTGAATGATTTTGCAGTTGTTACATAGAATAATAATATTATTATTTGTGATTTTGGCCATTTTATCAACCCCTGTAACCTTCAAATATTGTTCCATTGTCTTGTTGAATGGGAAGTTATTATAACAGACACCATGACATTAGATTGTATATAACAATTTACAAATATTATACTAAATGTGAAATAAAATGAAACTCTGAAAATTTTTTAAGGGTTAATGATTTATGTTTTATATAAAATTATTATTAAATTAAATTTGATAAAATCTGTTTGGAATTTTATTTAAAAAGTTTAATTTATGGTCTATTTTCCACCTTTAAAAACAAATAAAGTCTGTTATTTCTTATTAGAACACTTTTTGTTTATATGCAGTATTCAGAAGAGTTTTCAATGATATTCTTTACCATTGGATGCTTTGTTGTAAATCTAGCTCGCAATATTTGTTACAAACTTGGTTTGTTTTACTTTTTATGATATATGTGTTTTACTTTTAAAATTAGACGTCTAAAATATTTTGGTCTCGTTAAGGAGTTAGAGTCTTTTTAGTATGGTTGGCAGGGGTGTGACCTCATGTTCCTCTATGACCCTCCTTCATTTTACCCACTCCTTATCCTCCATTAAAATGTATGAACTTTTTTAATTATTCAAATGGCAAAGTTAAACCATAATTCCTTAGAATTAAAGTTTGACGCTAACATTAAAAACAATTTATAGAAGTCATTTTAGAATGAAATAAGAAAATTAAGTGCTAATTTGACTAGTCTTTCCATTGTATTTTCTTCAATTGTGTTAAAGTATTTTATTAATTTAAAATATTGGTTTGATAACTCTTTTTTTTTATATGTTTCTTTTTCAGATTGGTTGCCCAATCATTTCTGTAACACCCAGGCGCTAGGTAAGGGCGGGGAGTGATCGCCGATGCAATGTGGCATGGCATGGACAAGGAACGGCTACCTGGCAGACTTCCGGCGGTAAGGGGCACATGAATGAATCGAACTTACATCATAATGAGAGAGAGATCCAAAGATTGTGTATACAGTTAGGGATAACTTAAAGGAATTGATTAGGACTACTTATACCAACAAAATGCATTTACTTTTTGGTGGCCTATCACTTAAGAACTCCAAAGTTAAGTGTGCTTAACTTGGAGCAATTATGGGGTGAGTGACCTTCTGAGAAATTTTCGAGAAGTGTGCGAGTGAGGACAAAGCACACTGAAAAGTTTTGTGTTGGTTTGTGGGGATAGTCATCAATCCTGAATAAGTTGCTGGGCTGTTACAATTTCTATCCCAAGGTAATAATATTTAATTTGTTTACTTTATTTGAAACAAAGTTTGAGTTGTTTAGTTTCTAATATTTCTTTTTTTTTCTTTTCAATTTGTTATGTTGAATTGATGCAAGGTGAC